AGAAGCATTAGGGGCTGTTGAGGGTTGGTAGCTCTGGGGTGCTACCTGGGTTAGTGGGCTGTGGACACTTGGAAGTCTCAGATTGTGGAGGAAGTAGAAACATACTGCAGACTCATTCTGATAAGAGAATTTAACAAACTCTGTGGGCAAGAAACGAACTTTAAAATTGATTCTCTTTAGGCTTGAGAGAAAAAGGGAAAATTAATATATGTGTCTATAAGGTTGGTAAAGCTTTCAACCAAACAAGCATTTTAAGTGGAAATGACCGTTTTTAATGTTAATATTTTCTTTAGATTTTCATTCAAAACTCAAATGTCAGAGGTTCTGTTTAATCTGAGACAGAAATGTTTGGGAAGAGAACTTTGGGTGGGGGGGTGTTTAATATTAGGAAGAGGATTCTTACTAAGTAATCTTACTTGCCAAGCTGATATTTATATTGTGTCTCCTTTTACAGAAGAGCCATAGGAAGCCAGACTCCTTTGGTTCATGTGTCAGTGTTGGGATGCAGCCAAGCCTCACCTGCTATTTCTTTTTTTCTAGTCCCCTCGCCTAAGCTCAAAACCCTAAGAATAGCAGATGGTTGAGTCAGGCATTTCACAGATGTTGGAATCATTCCATCTTGTGTTTTATAGCATTTCTTTAAAGTACTGCTCCATGTATGTTATGGCTGAGAAATGTGTGTGTTTGTACCCTGATGTGCACGTGAATGTGATAAAATTGTGAACTTAAAAAATTGTCCTAGCCCTGGCCGGGTGGTTCAGTTGGTTGGAGTGTCATCCCATATACCAAAAGGTTGTGGGTTTGATTCCCGGTCAGGGCACATACCTGTGTTGCAGGTTCCAGTTGGGGCACATATGGGAGGCAGCTGATTGATGTTTCTCTCTCATATCAATGTTTCTCCCTCTCTCCCTCCTTCCCTCTATCTCCCTTTCCCTCTCCCTTCTTGCCTATCTCTCTAAAATAATCAATAAACATATCCTCAGGTGAGGATAAAAAAAATCCCTGACAGGTTTCATTATTAATTGCTTCTAAAATTAAGATAAGGCTAATAAGAAAAAGTATTATAAATATACTACATGTAACTCAGTATTTCCTTTGTTTATTTGTGGTTCTCTATAAGCCTTAAAAGTAGAGCCTTTCCTAACAGGAACTTTAGTCAACACCGGGGCATAGGGTGTGTGTGGGTGTGCGTTTCTGTGATAAATCCAACCAGGGTCTTCTGGGTCTTAGAGTTCTTTAAATTCTAAAACTGTGATTTCCAACCAGTGTGCCGCAAGAATTTTTAAAACATGCAGTATCTTACTAGTCAAGGGCACAACCTCTTTTCCCTTAGATTGTCAAATTAAAAAATGATATCAGCTAACACAACATCCAGTGTGAATAAATCAAAATTATATCTATTTTTTTATCAGATCGACCAAAAAAAATATTTTTGGTGTGCTGCAGAATTTTAGTAATTAGTTTATGTGCATCATGAGATTAAAAAGGTTGAAAATCACTCTTCTAAAATCTCAGAGATTAACTAATAAGCTCTTTAATGAGGTTGTGTTTCCTTTGGAAAGATATATCTCAGAAACTTCCAGAATCACTGGAACTTAAGCTTTAACTCTGTGCCCCAGTAGAAGTTTAGACCATATTACCTATGGGCAACTGGTCGCCCTGGTGCCCCTTAAATGTAACTAAAGTTGTTGCTGATGTTATTTTTCTCTTTCTCCAGCATTCATTTATTTTTTCTCGACTATTTATATTTCCCTCCCATTTCCATCTGCCTTTAAAAAGTGTTCTTTTTTCAGTAAATAAGTGAGTAGCTACTGGATGATATAGTTAGATGGAGGCAATTGGGTTGCCCTGTGGAAATATTCAGGGGATTGTGTGTTAGTTATTTAGTGGCCTGGGAAGGTGCAATTCTTTGAATATTTTAAAAATAATTTTCTAGAAACATTTAGCTGGTTCTTTTCTGTCCCTTGAGCCTGCATACATAAAATTAGCAGTACCTGTGTTAGGGAATGGAGCATGCTCATCAATTCTGCCATTTGCTTGTGCTTAACTTGTTTCATATTACTTTAGTAACATTTTTCAAATACCAGATTTTATGCCAGGGGCTAAGAATACAGGGAACAAAGATTCAGCTCCCTGTTTTAAGGAATGGGCTCCCAAATTTCTGTCAGTCTATCCCAGCCCGTGGACCCATTCATCTTTCTTCGTTCCCCAGTTTTCCACCTCAGATGCTGCCGCTTTGCTCCAGTGATTTAAAAACGACTCATGCTCATTTTTCACGTTTGATTGTTTTTTACATTCTCTAGCCCATTTAGTTCCCCCTTTTAAAATAATTGAGCCAGTTCTCTGTCCCCTTTCGTTATCATGTGTGAATCCGCAACCATCTGAAGTAACTCATGCTTGGAGAATCTCCCATCCATCACCTCCCAGGGAGCCTCATTGCTCCTATTCTGGCAGTTTATTGCTTAAAACAAAGCTCGTTGTGTTGGTGGTGGTGGTGGTACCATGTAAGTTACAGTCTATGTACTTTCCTTGGATTGACACACACTTTCCTTCCCTACTGCCGTGGTGGGGAATCACTTAGGGAAATGATTTGAATTAGGAACTGGACCCAAATATCTACTGCAGATAATTAATCCATAAAAAAGCTAAACATATATATATATGGGCATATGGTCAGTAATGATTATATATACTCTCAGAATATAAGTCCCTTGAAGGAAAGGTTCATATTATAGATCTGCTCTGTGCTGTACCCAGCACACAGTGAATTTCTGATAAATGCAAAGCATTAAAGAGGATTGAGCTCAAAATACAAATGTTTTTCATTTCTTTTTTAAAATCTTTATTGTTGAAAGTATTACATATGTACCCTGTTTTCCCCCATTGATCTCTTCTAGGCCCCCCCTGCCCCCTGCTCCAGGCCTTCACCACCCTATTATCTGTGTCCATGTTTAATTTCTTTATTTCCATTTTCTTTGTTCATAAAGACCAGGTACATCAATGACAAGTCATTGTCATCTTGCTGTGAATTAATGACACATTGATTGAGCAAGAAGTTCCAGGAATTTGTAAAGGGAAGTCACTGAGGCTTTCTGTTTTGGAGAATGTGTATATGTATGTGTCAGAAGAGTAGGGGTGAGGGGCCACAAAACCCTTAGGTAAGAGTGGGAATGCAGGGTCATGTGTGAGAAAACTTTTCCACTGTTTGATTAACAAGTCTAGAAAATGAGAACCATTCTTAGGAAACTGGGATTCATTAATTCAGGAATCTGCTTTGTCAGATTCTTTATTTCTCATGTTTGAGAGTATTTGAACATACACTTACTAGTAAATAAATGTTGGACCATTAAACTTTGCCTGATTTGCTACTATTTCAATAAGAAAATATTCTAATCCCTGAAAGTTTCCCTCATGAACATAGTATAGGAAAGGGTGTTGGCCCCACAAAGTTTCCATCCAACCCACCAGTCACTTCTCCCATCTGTGAGAAAGAACACAAAGCTGGATAGACTTCCCTTCCAATGAAAAAGCCCACAACGAGGGGGCCACATCACCTGCTAAAATTGCAGTGTGACAGCACACATCTTGGGTTCCTGTTGTAGTCTTTTCACTACTAGTGTTAGATCTTAAAAATCTCAGGTAATCATGATCTGAGGCAGGGCTGTGTATCTGTTTGGGTTCTTTGTTGTGAGTAGCAGAAACCAACTCTCATTAATGTAGGCAAAAGGAACTGTATTGGAAGGATATTAAAGATTCATAGAATTGATAAGAAGGCCAAAGAACTAATCTTAGAATAGACAGAAAACAAGGCAACTATGAAAGTCCAGGAACCAAGGACTAGGAAAGTGGCGGTGCCAACCATTCTTGTCCTCCTGACCACAGGGAAATCATGGGGAAGGAGCATCTAATTGGCCTACCTTGGGTCATGCTAGCACACCCTGCTGGAGGAAGGGTGGGGCCTCCAGGTCTTATCTAAGAAAGTCATTCTCCGAAAGGAAATAAGGTTGCACTTACTGGGAGGAAGATATGCTAAAGTAGCCAAAAGCAACAGATGCCCACCACCGGGTAGTAGAAGGGATTGAGTGACAGAAGGAGGCAGTACCAGTTTTCCTTTGGTAAATGTTAGAAACATGTGCTCATGTCCATTGCCCAGAAGGTGTGTCTGTGTCTGTCCGTATACTCTCTCTCTCTTAATTTGGGCCTAGAAGGACAGTCCTGTTATAATGTTGATTTGCACACATGTCGGATACTAAATATGAATATAAAAGGTGTTGGTGTTGAAGCAGTTTTATACTTTCATCAATTTTGAGAAATTGATTTTTTGGTAAGGCCCTCTTCCTTGACTAATTCAGTGTTTACCATTTGCCCTGTGGCGCAGTTTACTAAGTTAACCCGCTCTATCCCTAAATCTCAGTTATTGAGGATTTTGTATTTTAAGTATGTTCTTCAGAAGCCATATTTTTTCCTTTTGGACTCTCCAGATAAATAAATTCACACCCCAGTCTGCTTTCAGTTGGTTGTTGGAGTTGATTTATGCACTTACGAAGTAAGCATTGCTTAGTGATTAAAACTATAAGGGAATATTAATTTACTCTACCTACTCCACACCTTCTTATTGGAGATATGGCGATAGAATCCTACACCTTATTCTAATATCTTATTTTCCATCTCAAGAAGAGAGTGCAGCCTTTAAAAAGGAAATGAATTTTAATATCCTGAATGTAGGGAGGGCACGTATCTTTTCCTTATGTATGAACATTTAATAACATTTATAGTGTACCTCCTGGGTATAAGAAAGAAACGATGAAATGCTTTTATAAAATTAATTTTTAAATGATGATTTAATGATGACACTCTTATTTTAGTCCCTGTAAATCTCTAAATTTCTGTAGCTCTTACCATCAGCTTCTGAACTGAGTCTAATCCTGGACAGAAACCCAGGACATTCCGAGGTCATTTGGAGTGTTGCGAAAACCTGACCCGCTGTGCTTCTCTTCCAGCATCCAGTGCTTGACGAGCCCATAGCTGAAGCCGTCTGTATTATCGCAGACACGGACAAGTGGAGTGTGCAGGTGGCCACCAGTCAGAGGAAGGTGATGGACAGCACGAAACTAGGCCAGGATGTCCTGGTCTCTAGTCAGGTGTCCAGTTTACTTCAATCCATTTTACAGCTTTACAAGCTTCACCTCCCTGCTGATTTTGTAAGTATTTGTTCTCGCATCACCAAAGAAATATAGTTTAAAGACACTTTTTTTTTCTTTGCAATAATGGTTTTAACTTACTGTTGATGATAAGTTTAAAAACACTTTTAACGATACTTTTTAAAATAATAAATTCACATGTATCCTTTTGGGTACAATTAGACGATAGTCTAAGTAAATATAGAACATTCAACATAAAACCAACAAATGATAGACTTTAGAAACAATAGCCCTTCCATGAAACAAATAACATAGAGTGACAAATCTTTTTTAACAGGTACAGTTAAACCTCGGTTCTCGAACATCTCGCATCTTGAACATTTCGGTTTTTGACGAGGTTGTTCATGGAAAAAAATGTCTCAGTCTTTGAACAAAAGTTTAGTTCTGGACCTGACAGCCCTTTCAGCTTAACAAAAAGCATCTCTTAGGCCACAAACAAAGGAGGGAATGCCAGTCAATTTACCTCTAAATCTCGGAAATTGTGCAGTGAATATTTTTGTGGGTTTGTTGTTGTTGTTATTGTTGTTTTGCCTTTGTTGCTGGCAAAGTGGATGATTAGCACAATTTCAAAAGATAAAGAGGCCCTATCAACAATTAAAAATGTATATTAAAAAAATAAATAAAGAGGCCATCAGGAGTGCTTAGGGCAGTGATGGCGAACCTATGACACGCGTGTCAGAGGTGACACGCGAACTCATTTTTTTGGTTGATTTTTCTTTGTTAAATGGCATTTAAATATATAAAATAAATATCAGAAATATAAGTCTTTGTTTTACTATGGTTGCAAATATCAAAAAATTTCTATATGTGACACGGCACCAGAATTAAGTTAGAGTTTTTCAAAATGCTGACACACAGAGCTCAAAAGGTTCGCCATCACTGGCTTAGGGTGTGAAAGAAACAATGATCACAGGCAATTAAAGAGGTAGAAAAACTTGTTGATCGGATAAAGGAAAAGCAATTAGCTGGTGACTGCGTTTCATTGATATGTGAAAAAGTGAAGATGCTGCATGTTGACCTCCTAAAAGACACCGCTGGAATGAGTCCTGAAAGATTCATTTAAGGCTAGTAGGTGGTTTGATAACTTTAAGAAAAGAAGTGCTTATTTATAGGTAAAATAGTACATTAGACATGTACTATATATAAGAAAGGTTAAAACAGGCAATGATTTGGGCATCTGGAACAAATTAATTCGATCTATAATATTTCTAATGGGGAAAAAAATTACTCGGTTTTTGAACAAATCACTTCTTGAACAGCCGTCCGGAATGAATTAAGTTAGAGAACTGAGGTTCCACTGTATATAGTAAAGTTAGTTAGATGTGGGGGGAGGGACAAGCATAAAGGGAAATTTAAAATCCTCCTTTGGAGAACGAATTGTTTTTCCTTTTATTAGATTCATATCAAGCACGCTGATTCCTGAAGGAATTGTAGTTTGTTTTCAGGGACACCCTCACAAGTCGTTAGCAGATAAAATAGAATATAGCTCGTGTAAACACTTGAAATGCCGAAGTGCCATACCCATAGAAGATGGTATCAGTTATTCCTTTTCAAATGGGATTTTAAAATCACTTTCATGATGTTATATTAAACAACAAATGAGCCTTCAACTCCTAGAAAATGATCGACAGCTCTTCCTGAGTTATTGGAATTAATATACGAGGCAAATTCTCTTCAAGGTGTGTGTGCATGTAGAGAGAGATTGAGAGAAAATATATTTAGAGGGGAAGGGAGAAAAGTGGGAGTGAGGCTTGAGGGCATCACTAGGAAAAACTTGGGGACATGGGCTTAAATATAAGTTACGCTCACCTTCTTTGCTCCTTCCTCCCTCTGCAGGCTTTTGCTCTCTAAAGAATAACCCCAAACCAGAACATTTGTTATCTCCCTTCTGGCCTCCACAAAAGATACAGAGATATTTAACAACAAAGTTGGAAGCTGAATATTAATTACCTACGCTAATTGCTAATGGAGGGTAATTTTCCTGGGTTCTTATGGCTGAATCTACAGTGGTACCACATGCCTCAGAAATAGTCAGGATTTTTATGGCCTTGAAGAAGGTGCTTTGAAATAACCCTCTGTTATTTCAGTATAACCCACTGTCTAAGTAGACAGTGTGGCATAACAGTGACTGGGTTCAAGTCTAGGCTTTGCCATCAATCTGTTGTGTGATGGTGGACAAGTGTCTCTGAACCTCAGCTTTCTCATTTGTAACAAGCATGTTAAGAGAATCCTCTGAAAATTAGGGCTGAGGTACTTACTGCTTTTTTAGCGGTCAAAGCAGAGGTTAAACAGCCAGTATACAGTAGTGGCCACTGCCTGGGCTTGAGAGTCCAATAGCCTGAAGTCAGACACAGGCTCAGCTGCTTCCTGTGTGACTTCTCAGTTCCCTTATCTGTAAAGCTGGGGATATAATAGAACCTAACTCATATGGTTAGAAAAGAAAATTAGATGATTCACGTAAAGCACTTGGGATGGTGTTAGATGCTCTAAGCACTCAGGAGGCAGCTACTGTCCGTGTGATTGTTAATAACCACTTTCATAAAACAGGGTTAATGGTTGTAAAGACCAACACCACCTTTTCACTAAAATCTTTATTTGGGCTTTAACCTGAAGTTTGCTCTTGCAGGTCACCTGTCCCTGGGGTAATCGTGTGAGGAACTCTCAGGTTCCTATCATCTAACTTTTGTTCTATATTTAGAGTCGGTTTTTCTTTCTAGTAGCAAGTTGCATCAGGCTGATTTTGAGGCTGAAATCTCTTTTTCTGTAAGGGAAGGAAGATATGTTAGATTTTATAGTTTCTTACTGTTTTAAGTATTTACCAACTTTTATATTTTATTCTCTAATACATAGCTCTTGTTACTTTTGACATCTTCATTTTCCAACCAATAAATTACTGTAGCTGATTTTTTTCTTCATTTGGACCAAAATATGTTTAACCACTTAATAATATGCATGGCTTACTTAGCCTGACAAAACCAAGATCAGAAGAAATTTCATCTGCAGTTTAAAATTCACCTTAAAAATCATTTCAATGAAACAAATGCCTATTAGAGCCATCAGTATAAAAGGGAAAGTAGCTATTTAAATTTTCAGAAATTAAAAATTAAAAACCCCATCTCAGGATTAAGATACCAGAAAGGAGAAGGAAAAACGGAAAAAAATTCTATTTAATAATCAAGCCTTTAAAAAAAAATTCTAAATACTTTGATTTCAAAAATAGTATACATTCCATATAGACCAGTGTTCTCTTTATTTTGACATCGCAGCATATAATTTTCATGGAGACTAAGAATACACTGCAGATTAACTATTCTAAAACACAAAGAATTCATGTAATGTGAATATTTTTTAATATTTTATGATATTCTTATTAAAATTTTTATATTTACTCCATAAGGAACTAAAACTTAACAGGAGGGAGATCCTTTCACCACTAAACTCCGTTTATTTGGGGGACCATGTTCATGAGGATTGGTGAAGTCCTCCTTGCTTTGATTATTACTCTTAGTCACTTACCAGTTGTGTTTCATCCACCCAACACAAGGCATTTAAGATTTTAAGCCAATGGAAAACTGAAAAGATTACATCTCTAATGGATACTTTTTCCATGTCACTGATCAGGCCAGATGGTCAAGATCAACATTCTCAAATGCATCTGTTAATCTTTTTTACCTTGAAAATAGCAGGCGTAATGGTCTAGAAGAAAATTATGTGTGATAGAATTACCCTTGCCAAAGCCATCAGGTGTCTTACTGAAGATGCTTGGAGAGGTCTTCCTGCCAAATGCAAAAGCATTAGCCTCTGGTGAAAGACACAGATGGTTGCTATTCTCTAAAAAATGAAGTTGGACACAATTCCAAGGGTAGTGATGTCCTGAAAATAATTGCCCTTTCTTTATTGTTTTTAAAGACCTAGTTAAAATAGACTCCAGAGCCAAAAAAAAACTTCAAAATATACTTCTGAGAATGTATTGTGCCCAAATAATCTGATATGTAGGGAAATACTACAACAACAGAGGTGTCCTTTACAATGTTTAGAACAAAAATGCAAATTGCTATGTGGTTAAGTAAATAATGGTAAATGCACATTCTTAAAAAAAAATTTAGCCATAAAATTACATTGATAAAGAACTTTTACTAACACAGGGAAAGGATTATTATAAAGTTTTTTAGAAGCACTTATAGAATGATTTCAACAAATGCTTTTTAGAAAAGACTAGAAGATAATATATGAAAATCTTATTAGTCATCGGAAGAAATAAACTTTGTTTTACAAAACCTGCTGGTGATAGGGTTTGAGATGGCTTGTAACTTTTTAAGGGTATTTGAAAGAGATTAGATTATAGTTATAGACTTAAGAATGAATCAGGAGAACCCTAGCTCTTTGAATGCTGGCAGAGGTTTCCATTCTAGCCCTCATTGTGAATGTTATTGGCTTCACAGTGCATCATGCATCTTGAAGATCGACTACAGGAGATGTACCTGAAAAGTAAGATGCTGTCTGAATATCTTCGTGGACACACACGAGTCCATGTGAAAGAATTAGGTGTCGTACTGGGGTGAGTTCGGTGAAGTGTCGCCCTTCCTTCTCCCTGTGATGGGGTTGTCCCTAGCACTGTGCCCGCAGACCCATGTGCCTCTGCTGCTCTCCCATTAACAGCATGTTCCTTGTTTCTGATAGTGGAAATAAGCGCAGAACTTTAAGCTGGTGGTACTTTATGTTAATCTTCTTCCTGGGTTATTTTATGTGTGAACGTGAAAAGTTACACTCCACTCTGTTTGCCCATCTGCAGTCATTTCAGTAAGATGTCCAAGTCACAAGCTGTCCGATGCAGCCATGTTGGGAGGCAGGGGCCTGCCTGCCTGTTCACGGGGGCTGGCTGTACCTTCCTCCCTGGGATGATAAGCCCACCAGGAGAGGAGACTTGCTTATGTTACTCATGTTGTACAGCATCTTCCTGAGGGTCTCTGCCATGACTTCTCTAAAGAAGAAGTGGGGACTTGTCCTCCTTACTTACCATGATGGTTCCCCTAATTTGGGCAAGAAAATATTGTATATGTATTGTCGACCTTGAAATTTTCTTTTAAGCCTGCTAATCAAAGTATCAAGACTCAGGCCTTTACTGTGTTTTTGTGTTTGGCTCTTAGAACTTCATGTTACACATTTTTCTTACATACCTCATTTTTAAAATATTTCCCCCTTTGGAGGCATTTGCTTTTGCAATTAACTTACAGAGTATCTCTTGCTTGTGTTTTTTTGTTTGTTTGTTTTTCTTAGTTCTGATTTAGATCTCTTAGTTCTGTTTCTTAGTTCTGATTTAGATCTCTTAGTTCTGTTTCTTAGTTCTGATTTAGATCTCTTAGTTCTGTTTCTTAGTTCTGATTTAGATGATTAGTGGGAATCATCCCCAGCCTCTCTAGCCCCTTCCCCACTGTCAGGGCCACAGCGCTCCTGTGCAGCAGACCTGGAAGTAGACCTGCAGGGAGCATTACTGGAAAAGGCATAGGAAAAACTCCATGAGGTCATTGAAATTTCATTTTTAATTTTTTGTGGAATTCAATGGAAAGATTAGGACTTATTTCACGGACTGAAGCAATCCTCCTTTTTTTCAGGACATTTGTCAGCATTTAGCCTGGCCCATGCTGCATCCGCCTCTGCTTTAAGAGAGGCCGCCAAAGCCAGGTCCATCTGATGCCATGTCTCTTGACTCAGCATCTGTTAGTGTTGCTTTCTCTCAGAATGTTGCTTAATGTTATCTAACTTGTATAACCTGTTGAACAAACCCCCAAGGTTTTTGAAGAAATTGCCACCATCATTTTCCTAAGACTAGTTGTAACTTAGGAGCAGAGTCTGTGTGCATTAGGGATGAATGAGGAGACAGTGGAGGAAACATTAAAGTATAACCATGAGGCTGTACAGGGAATACAGGAAAGTTATGGGCTTGGACTCGGTGGCCCCTACTGTGGAAGAACAGTTTTATGTCCACACGTGTGCCCAGCCCACCTCCTGGCCTTTGTCCTCTGGTCATTGTCCACTAGGAAGTCATAATTAAAAGAACAGGTTTATCATCTTGCTATCCCTCTTACTTTTTCTTTTGTTTTAAGCAATGAACTAGCAAGCTTGGTCCCTAGCAATAATACTTAACTGCAGAATCATGTTACTTTAAATTAATAATCTTTTCCTTTTATTCAATATTCAGGATTGAGTCGAATGACCTGCCTCTGTTGACTGCTATCGCCAGTACTCATTCTCCGTATGTGGCTCAGATACTCTTATAAGCTTAAGCTCAGGACCATTCTCCCTTGGCAGAAAAAACACACACATTCTCATGTGAAGAAGAGAATAAGCTCTCCATGACGTCCAAAGCATAAGAAGAGCAAACAGAAACAGTCATTCCACCGCTTTGTCTTGTTTTATCTTGTTGCTTTCAAGTGGATGCTTTATTGGAACTTAGGTTTACTTGACATAATGGCATGTGTGTTTCTCATGAACACTGTAGGTCTTTGTTACCCAGGAGTCAACAGAGAGAGTGACCTCTCTGGAAGGAGGAAGCATATGCACTACACTACACACTAAGCTGTTGGTACTGCTCGCCTTGTGTGTTTGGGCCAAACGACAAGGGACTTTGGAGCAGGAGGTAAACAATGTGCAGACCATTCCAGCGGGAAAATGCTTCAGAGCTGACCCATGAGCTCTCCACACTGGAGAAAGCATATTCCACTATTCTAAGAAGACATCAGGAAAGGACTTCAGATTCCAAGTCGGAGTTTGCTTTTTACAAAAGGTGAAGTAAAGAAAGCCACATGGGCCCTCGTCAGCTCTGGTGGCTGTGGGAGCGACACTGACCTAAAACAGGGAAGAATATTGACTGTGGGGAAGAGAGTGCTATAGGGACCCGCTCTTTTCACATCTTCTTGGAGTTTACCTTGTCTCAGATACAGCCACAGGTAGGTTAGAGGTGGATTGTTGGTGCAATAAACCCAAGAATCAATGTAGCATCTTAATCCCATCAGGATGGAGTTTGTAGCAGCAAAGTACACAGTCTGATACCGTGTGTTTAACCTTATACTTCAGAGCTTTCAGCAGCCTCTTTAAGAGAGGCCATTTACCAAAGTTATTTCTATAAGCTCAAGAGTATTCCTGTTGCTAAATTCTTCTAGCCAAAGCCACTTTCTTCCTGTAATAGCTAATACAAATGACTATTTATACTCTACAAGGCACAGCTGTCCTGGTGGGAAATGAAACCTGCAACAGTTCAGGATGACTAATGAAAGCAATTAGTTTGAACATTTATAAACAATTCATACATGGTCTACATTTTTACATTATCATCTCTGTGCCTTCTAATTCCTACATACTTTTCAAAACACTGTTCCAGAAATTAACTCCCCCATAGTATCAAACCTGCCAAAATGAGGAATTGTTTATTTGCTAGCATAGTTGACTTTAAAAAAATAAAAAACACGAAACATGTAATTTTCTGTTACTATAAAATAAATTTTTCTTAGTTTACTGACCATGAACTATGACCCTGTCAGACAATGTACTGACATCCAAGATAAAGAAAATGACTTAAAAAATTGATCATTAAATGACAAGAGCTGATCTAGTAAAACAGAACATTGTTAGCTAATTATAACCAGGCTCCAATTTCCTTTCACTCTTTTATAAATTAATTTCAGTCCTTCCCATGTATTCTTTGTACCTAAGAAAATGAAGTAACTTCCCGACTAGGGTTTATGACTTCAGATTTTCTATTTGATAAAATCCTATCTTAAACACCAAGTTACATAAGTGTGTCTCTTCTTTTACAAATACAAGTGAATTATTTGTTTGAAAGAGCACCTAATGGGAAAAAATGGGTGTATTACTTCTTAGGAATAAGTCAGATTTGCTGCCTTCCGCTCCTTTTTTTTTTATGATGTGAAATGTAGATGGGTGCATTAAAGCTCTTAAGACCTTTAATTTTTATTTTATGTCTTTCTTTCATAAAATTGAAATTTTTCATCCTTTTTAGATTTTTCTGTTTTCTTTTGCCTAACATCTGAGTTTGTATTTTAAATTCTCTAGTTCCATGACATCATTGCTTGTTGTGATGTTACACAGAGAGAATGAACCTTACCTGTGGCTCAGCTCACTCGTCATTTGCTTTTCATTACATGTAAATTAATGGTAATAGCTGGTGTTATATCATTTCCATCTGCACCAGTTTAAAGCATTCCCTCATCTCTTGTTCCCTGTTCCTTGTTTACACGTTTGGGCACTTTCCCTCATTCACCGCCTTCCAGGGTTTCATAGAAAATAACTAAATACAAAATCAATTCCATTCTTATGTGGCATGTTGAAAATTAGACCCATATAGGGCGAAATTGAGATTTAAAAGGCTGATTCTAAACTTCATACATAAAAGATTGAGCCCAGCCCCCTCAAAACCTGAGAAGATTTCATTTGCCTTTTAATCTGCTTTTCCAAAACTCTTGGAAACGTCTGTTGGAAAACCACAGGTGGGTCACACGTGGGGATGGTTTCAGTGATGCTCAGGGTTCCGGTCAGAACCTAATCCTCACACCTACTGCCTGGAAAAACAGACGGAGAACGTTGCTGCTCTTTTAGAACCCTCCTTTCCATAGCATTCAAGTTTTGTTTGTCTTAAATTCAACCTCTTCCCAAAAGTAGAAAAGAAAAAGAATCTCATGGGCTTGTGTTGAGATACACCCACTCACACACCGTACACCACCCAGTGGCTTCATTCTGTCTTAGCTGCAGAAGCAAAAAAGGGATTCCACCCTCTCCCATGCCCACCTCAAAAAACAAAATTTTTTAAAAAAATTTTTGAAAAAACTACCTCAGTTGACAGGATTCCACCTTTAGGGTTTCTTCAACTTTTAAGTCTTACCTGTTGAGTGTAGCTTTTGTAGAATCTTGCTTCTTTAAGCAAGCTAGTGAGGCATGACAGAGCAGAGTTATACGTGTTCCTGTGATGGCCCTCTTTCTAGCATGTCGCAGTTTTATTTTTAATAGATTGATGCGTGATACGAATGTAAAGATAATTGTGTATGTTTAAACATGACAATGAAAATTTAAAATGTAGCTTCCATACTTGTGCATAACTCCAAAGTATTTTATTTTTATCAGTGTTAAATAGCTTTTTGTACAGGCTTCGATCCATTTTTCTGAAGTGTGCTGTTTTTTAATGAAAGTAACTATAATCTTTTCACATCCCATGGAACTGCCGTTTACACATCACAACTTTTTAAACTTACCATATTTTTCAAAATTAACTTTTTTGGAGGGAGGGAAATTCCTGCTTGCTAAATGATACTAAACTGTTGTTTGGGGCTCTTATCATTAGGTCCTGAGATTTTATAAAAATTTAGTCTGTAGCTTTTTAGGTTCTTCACTAGAGTTGGTTGTACATAAAAATAAAGAATATAAAGTGACCCCCCCAAATTCTTTTAAATGACTGGATTTTTCCTGTCTTATGTACTTTTGGAACTATTTTGTTCATGCATACTTTCACCATTAAATTGAGTCTTTAGCTTCTCTTGGTAAATGTGAACCATTTGTTTTGTACTGTGCTTTGTGGGAGGGGATATTTTGGTATAATACTTGCCTAAATCAAGCAGTCCCCTCTGAATGTTAATTTTTAAATGTCAAAATTTGGTGAACTATATAACGTGGAAGCAAGATTACAATATGCTTACATTTAAGTGGTGTTTAAACAAGGAGAAACTTCTGGGATTTGTTACCATTGAAGCTCCATGAAGACAAATTGATAGGACCTTATATTTTTGATCAGTTAAATAGCTATCAATGTCATTGTATGGAAATTTTTTTCTTAAAACTTGTCCATGTATTATTTTGATCCATTTTTTTTGTGGCATTTGGTGCAATAAACCTTTTGAATTTATCTGAACATTTGTTTGTTATGTTGAATCTTAGGACTTAAGAATCTAGAGGTCTCATTTCCATGAACTCGTGTGGAAACAAGTTCATTGTCAGTGATTTTCAACGGGGGTGTAGGAATTGTAGGGCCATTTTTGCTCAGCATAATGAAGGGTGACGGGGGATGGGGGCTGAGGATGAAAGGAGAAATGTCTTGTAATGTGTGGGACACCCCATGGAATGAAGATTGAATTGTCCCATCTTTGGAGTGACTGAAATGTCATGCTGGGCATTCATGGGAGTAAAAAAAACCAACCTGTTTATAGTGATCTAAGCTGAGAATTTAATTCTGCTTTACATAAAAGCAGTGTATTTTTCAGATGATTTTCATGTATGCTGAATTTTCCAGGAATGTCACTGGTGTATAAATTGAGAAGATTTGACCTTGTAAGGTTCCGAATTTTAACAAGAATTGACATAATTTGGAAAACATAACCAAAAACTACAGTACTCCTGGAATTTGAGTCATCAATACAGCATATCTCTATCAGTCTTCATTTATAGCTGTTGCATTCATGGAGACTATATACAGATGTAAGCATCTACCCACTTCATTATATTTTCTATTCTAATCTAGTTCCCCAATGTCTATATGTATTTTAAATATCTATGTAATAAAAGCCTTAGCAACCGTTAGGGCTGAACTACCAGAACGACAGTTTGCTACGATGTGCAATGACCACCAGGGGCAGACGCTCAATGCAGAAGCTGCCCCTTGGTGGTCAGTGCGCTCCCACAGGGGGAGCACCGCTCAGCCAGAAGCTGGGCTCATGGCTGGCAAGCGCAGTGGCAGTGGCGGGAGCCTCTCGTGCCTCTGCTGCAGGTGGGTGGTAAGGAGCAAGGGGTCCTGGACTGTGAGAACCCGGACTGCGAGAGGGATGTCTGACTGCTGGCTTAGACCCGATCCCCGGAGGAATTGGCCTAAGCCGGCAGGTGGACATCTCTCAAGAGGTCCTAGACTGCAAGAGGGCACAGGCTTGGCTGCCTCCGCGCCTCCCCCCCCCCCCCCCAGTGCAAGAATTTTGTGCACCAGGCCTCTAATATTAATATAAATTACTTTTTAAGTAGTAAGTGTAGTGCATTGTATTGATCTGTTATAAATTATATGTATAAGAAGGTTGCATTATTTATGAATTTTATTTTAGGAAAGTAAAAGACATAAAATATTTACTATGAAAGGGATGAGATCATTGCTACTCATGGTCTCAGGAAAAAATATGCTGTTAATTATTACTTTTGTAGCAATGTAATACCGTACCAAATTATGTTGTTTTAAGACTATAGAGAGAAGTAACATTAGGTATTTCAAAATCCTTTTTGTATTACATAAAAATTTCAAATGTTTTCTATATTCCCTCAAGCATCTTTAAAATCCATGCTGTTGATAAAGAACTGAAACACACACATCCACACCACATCGCTGTTTGGTTCCCTGATGTCTTGTTTGTTCTGTCAGATCCTTTGTATGTGTTACTTCATTTAATCCCCACACCTGGATGCAATGGGAACTGTGACAGTTAATTTTATGTGTCAGCTTGGTGAAACCATAGTACCCAGATTTTGTGGATGTTACTATAAAGGAATTTTTAGATGCGATTAACATTTAAAGGAGTATTCTTTGAGTAAAGCAGATTGCCCTTCCTAATGTAGGTGGGTCTCATCCAGTCAGTTGAAGGACTTAAGAGAAAAAAGACTGAGGTCCCCAACGCAAAGGGAATTCTACCTCTAGACTGTCTTTGAACTTGAACTGCAACATCATTCTTGCCTCGGTCTCCAGCCTGCTTGCCTACCCTGCAGATTTGGAATTTACCATTCTCCACAATCATGTGAGCCAATTCTTTAATTCTTTAAAATCAATTAATCTATACATCTGACTTATTGATATATCTGATATATCAGTCCAATGATAATCCCAAAATGGAGTTGGATGGTCAGAATATCATCATACCAAGTTATAGGAGCAAAGATCTTTAATGCAGTAAACAATATCAACCTCAGAGTTATCCCTTAAGGCAGCGGTTCTCAACCTGTGGGTCTCGACCCTTTTGGGGGTCGAACGACCCTTTCACAGGGGTCACCTAAGACCATCAGAAAACACATATATAATTACATATTGTTTTTTGTGATTAATCACTATGCTTTAATTATGCTCAATTTGTAACAATGAAAATACATCCTGCATATCAGATATTTACATTATGATTCATAACAGTAGCAAAATTACAGTTATGAAGTAGCAACGAAAATAATTTTATGGTTGGGGGTCACCACAACATGAGGAACTGTATTAAAGGGTCGCGGCATTAGGAAGGTTGAGAACCACTGCCTTAAGGGTTGCGATCAAGTCCTCTGAATATGTGCTGCAAAGGAGATGTTGGTGTATAAGAAAAGCGTAAGCTAGAAACAGCCCTCTGAGATGGCAAGGATGGGAGGGAACCCTTCATTCACAGCAGAAGGAAAAAGCTGCCTTCCCATAAGGATACCCTTGCCATTGTGTGTTAGTTTCTTATAGCTGTGCACCTCCCTCTGCTTTCCTGGGGATCTCAAATGATCACTTACCATTTCCTTTTACCCATTTTCAAGTTCTCAATCTGACGTTTTCTACTCAATGTGTAAAAAAATTTTCACCCACATGAACCTTTTCTCCTGTGTACCTCTCCTCGCCCTTTTTATTGTAACTTTCTCCTTCCTTTGACAACTAAGCTTTTTCTTGAGAGGTTGGCTTGGCGCTCAGTCCTTGATCCCTATTTATTCTCTCCTTACGGCCACCTGGCTCCACCACGCCCTCCTCACTCTTCACAATGTCAGGTCGGGTCCCACTTCCTTCTTTCCCCTGGTAACGGAAGACTTTCCCCACACCCGGTCAGCACCGAGAGCTGTTGAATCTAACACTTCCTTTGTGTCTCAAATACATCACCTTTTCTCTTTGCCTTCTTTTAGTCCCTCCTTATTTCTTAGTTGAGCTACCAAAATGCCCTTTGAACTCATCTCCCTTTTATGTAAAACAGTTCTAAATAATATTCTTCCAGGCAATGTCTAAATAATCTTTCTAAAAGTTTAATCCTGTCACTTCTGTTTAAAGTCAGCCCAGTAAAATCTAAGTTCCTAACACCACGTATTCAAATGACATTACTGGTCCTTCTTCCCCAGCCTCGTCACTAGACACCCCTCTTTGCACACTATTATCCAGCCATATTGAACCACACACTCTTCCTCCACGGTGCTAGGTTATCTGTAGGTTATCGTCACCTTGGCCCTGCCAACCTGTTCTTCCTAGTCTTCCTCTCCTTCACCCCTGGCTCCATCAGGTCCTTCCTGTTCCTAGCTGAGCATGCCATCGTTCAGTGTCAGATCCGCTAGCCCCGGCTACTCCAGGTGCCTGGGACGTGGAGAGGCATGCAGTGTCCCAAACCCCATCCCAGACCCACCAAAGCACAATCTGCACCCTAATGTGACCTCTAGGTGATTCATATGCACATTGAAATTTGGGAATTGCTGCTTTCGCACTCAATGTGAGTGCATGGATGAGGGAAGAATGTGTCAGTCACTGAAATTGTATCCATGTATGGAATGAAGGGGGGCAATGAGAATATTTACAAGCTAAGAAATGGAATAGAAATGGGTGATGTTGTTGAAAATGTCTGTTGCATGCACATAAAGTTGCTAACACTTAAGTGGCTATTATTTATGTGGAGGAAAAACAATGTTAACCAAAACTTAAGAGGGGAAAAATAACAAATGGACTAGAAGACAGAACTTAGGAGACACTTTGTGATTTTAAAAAAGGAGAAATTTGGAGAAATATAGTAGAAAAACAGTTTAGAAATTTGCCCCATTAACTTTCAAAAATACTTGTAATGGCGTTTTGGATACAAGAATGAGATATACTGTTAAATATAAATTGCATTTTAGAAATATTTTAATTACATTCCAAACTTAAATTTATAAGAAAAAATCCAAACGCAAGAACCTGAATATATAAAATATCCCCACTTTCAACCATACCTTTGATGAGAAAACATGTGATATTATGTATAGCTTTATGCTTTTAAGATTTCCCCCCAAATCACTCAGTACCATTGACCAATTGTTCCTTTTTTGAGGCTGCTTTCAATGTATGGTTCTGAGTCTTCTAGCATAAGAATGAAAAGTGTGCTGGCATCTCTGATAAGCATAGAAATGGAGGCCACTGATTGGTGGCTAGTGTGAGACATGTTGAAGGCTTTACACACATTGTATTCATTATTTGCTTTTAAATTTTTAAGAACAGTTGCTTCTAGTTATTTCGCTGAAGAGGATTTATACTAAAGGGGTGGGAGGCTTGGGTACTTATGGAAGTGTCAATCATAAGAACCTTGTGGGATCATGCAAAAATAATAGACTTGGGTAACAAGTTTCTAATGTATCTCTGGATATTTAGAAGAAAGCCTCTTTGATAAAATGAGGGATTATTTTGAATGATATAGTATTTTGTTTATCTCTGGAAGGGAAGAGAATGTGGCCAAGTGATCAATTACTCTCACCAACAATAAGTTAAACCGATATCAGGTGCCTCTTTGATGTGATGCACCGAGAATGGCAACATCACTTGTTTTGGGACTCCTGCCAAAAACACAAAACCTGAATCTACTCTCGAGAAAACATGAGATAAATCCAAGTGAAGAGGTTTTCTACAGAACTGGTCTATATACTCTTCTGATGTGTCAGTGTTATAAAGTCCAAGACTAAGGAACTGTTCCAAATTCAAGGAGACTAAAGAGACATGAGGAGCAAGTGTAATGCGTGATCTAGGTGGGATCTTGGATCAGAGAAAAATACAAAGGACATTATTGGGACAGTTCATAAAATTGGATTATGAACTATAGATCAGCGACTTTCACCCGGTGTGCCGCAAGAATTTTTAAAACATGCAACACCTAACTACTCAGTCAGGGGCACTGACCTCTTTTCCCTTAGATTGTCAAATTAAAA